TTCATTATTTTTTAGATAGGTTCTTGCTTTTTGCCAGGCTGGCCTTAGACCCTGATCCTCCTACCTAGGCCTCTCAAGCAGCTGAGATTACAGGCGTGAGCCGTTCACGTCCAACCTGCAACAAATCCTAACACTCACAAGCATGCCCTGCAGACGCAGACAGACAAGAGCAAGACAGAGGCAGGCCACCGCCGACCATGCCTCCTGCAGCCTGGCTCCTGAGACTGAGGGAAATCCCCATTATCCCTTACACAGCCCATGTGCTCAGAACCTCATGAGGTAACCGGGCTCAGGAGTGGTGCCACAGGCCCCAGGTGACAGTCCTCCAACCCTGTACTCCTAACCCCATTCAGCTGTCCCGGGTCCATGAGGGGATTGGACCCAGGGCCCTGCAGGTTCCCAAATCCCTGGATGCCCAAGCCCCTTGCCCCTTACAGAAAGTGGCATGGTTTTCCGGATCTTGTGCACTTCCTCCTGTAGACTTTTAAGCATCTCCAGGTCACTTGCCATCACATCCCAGTGTAAATGCTTAGGGAATGCTGACCAAAAGGAAGTCTGCACTGTTCAGTACTGGCGCCATCTTTCTCCTGAATATTTTCTGTATGAATCACGAATTTGGAGGGCCCGTCACGTCCTCCCAGCTTCCTGACACAACACTGCATCAGGTCTGGGGACTGCAGAGCCGGTGGGAAGCCCCAGAGTCTTGGCCGATCCACGTTGTTTCCGGCAGGCCCCCTGAAGCCGTGGCACTTCAGATGCTCCATGTCTAAGCCCTGTGGCTGGAGGTGGGAGGGGAAGGAACAGTTGATCCATCTCTAAGTCCCCCTCGAAGGGCTCTGCTGCTGGATGGGGCCACCTGCCCCACTTGCCCCAGGAGCCTGGAGGTCCTGTGGGGTATGAGTCTATCATGCTGGCCACAGGCCTGGGGCTTCCCTGGGACCTTGTGTTGTCCTCATGGACTCCTCAGACATCACACAGGTTTAAAACGCCACAGGCTAAGACTGGAGAGGAAAATCTGCCAGGACTCCAAGGAATGGGCCAAACCCAGGCAGTCACTCTCTGCTGCTCCGTGGAGCTACAGCCTGGTGGTTCTGGCCCCCACAGATTTACAACTTCAGAAGGACCAGGCTAGCTCCTGGGGTTGCAAGGGTTGAGGGCACCTGTGTTCCCTCTGCACCCTTCAGATCATGCTGCCCCTACCTCAGACCTTCAGTGGCCTCCCACTGCCTCAGGACAAAGGCCGAAATCTCCATCCTGAGAATTTTCCTGTCACTCTGGGTCTAGCTCCTATCACCAGCCACAGGGTCTCTGCCCAACGCAATTCAATTCCCCATAGGTGCAGGAACTTTGCACACGCATTACCCCTGCCTGGAGAACCCTCTTCTCACAGCTCCCCAGCTGCCACTGCACTGCAGCTCAGGCACCATTTCCTTCAGGAAGCCTTCCTTGATCCCCAGGAGGAGTTTGAGCCCTCATCACCCACAGCTCAGAATTTCACACCTGTGTGACAGGTTCCTATTCTCTCCCACCCTGGGCTTCCTAATGGGGAACTCGGGGCTGGGTTTTGCTCAGCATTGTGCTCGCAGTACCTGCCCTGGCCCAAGCACACACCGGACACTCAGGAGGGACCATAGGGACAAAGCAGTGCAGAGAAACCTGATGCCACCACTTTCTGCGTGCATCCACGGCCAGCGGACTTCCCACTCCTGGGTGGGTGAGGCTACGGTAGGGCAAAAGGGCTTAACTGGCACCAGCTCTTCTGACAGTGGTGGCACAAGTCTCAGGTGCTACATGCTGTCTGTAGGATGAAACAGTACCTGAATTTTAAGGAGTCTCTGTTCTCGCAAGCTTCACAGCATTCACAGACCCCATCTCTGCACAACCTGGTTCCGTGAGGCCCTGAGGAAGGCACCTGGTCTGCCACCCTTTCCTGGGGTTCACAAGCAGGGAACTGTCTTCCACTGCTCTCAAGAGCCTCTGAACTCACACACAGTACTGCAGCAGGAAGGGGCCCGGCTCCCTGTACAGTGAGAAAAGCCACCTCTGAAAGCCCCCCACTGACAACGGCATCAGATCCCTTCTCCCCAGCCCAGCAAGCTGGGCATGTGGCTTCCATTAGGCCACATCTGGACACGCTCAGAGGCAGGGGTGGCTCAACTGAGACAGCCTGGATCCCTGGCACAGCTCCGGCTCCCAGGCAGGACCTCCACGGCAGTCCAGCCTGGGTCAATGGCTGGAAACTACCTCCTCCAGGCCCCCAGGTTGCCTTGGCAACAGGGCTGTGGGTCACTTCCGGCCCATTGCAGGCTCCACAGGCTGATCCAGGCAATGCCACCGCCCAGCTTCTCCCCATCCAGGGCCCCTCCATTCCCCAGGATCCCCGCCGCCTCCACCCCTGCCCTCACCCACAATGGCAGCCAGAGGCTCTAAGATCCAAACCCCACTTCCCTGTACACGCTCAGCAGCAAGATGAGTCTCCACCTGTAAACCCCCCCTCCTTGTCATGCTGCACACCCAAGATTGTGACCAGGGACAAACCTGTGTGTGTGTCCCCGCCCAATGCATTCCACCCCACTGGGCCTCCAAATGCGGAGGCTGAGCCTGCCTTGCTCACTGGCACAACCCCCAGCAGAGAGAGGACACTCAGGGTGCCTGCTGCAGAAGTGAGCAGACAGGGTGACGAGCAGATGGAAGATATTGATTGCGAACATTTGTAATTACTCAGCAAGTACTCCGCTCCAGGCCGAGCACTTGACTTGAATTACCTCAATTAATCTTCAAAACAGTCCCACGAAGCAGGGACTTCTCTGCTGCCTACAGATGGGTGACTGAGGCACCAAAGGGGCAAGCCACTTGCCCAAGTCACATATCATGGAATCAGAGCATGTAAACTGGTAGGTGATGGTGGACACTGGGCAGGGAGCAGGATGGAAGACAGAGGTGGGTGATGGATGTGGATCTGGCCAGGTCTGAGCTCCTGGGTCCCACCTAAGTCCACACTTCCCTAACTTGCCTTATCTCCACTCCATGCACAGCCAGAGCCTCAGCTGCTGATTCTGATCTCTGGGCCTTTGCACGTGCTGAGCGCCTACCAGGATGGCACTCAGACAGCTGGATGAAGGGCATGCAGTCGAGCCCAGCTGCCAGCAGTCCTCACCAAAACCACACCCCAAATCCATCTGAGAAAGCCCAGGACAGAGGCAAACACGAATGGGGCAAAGCAGTTCTACAGAGCTCCACACCGAGGCCTCTGGCAGCAAGAGAAGCAAGGGGCCAGGGAAGTCTATTTTGGAACCCCAGAGCCTGCAGCCCCAACTCCCTCCCAGGCCAGGCTGCCGCCCCCTCTGCGCCCCCACCATACACATGCATTTCATTAGATCCTGATCTCCTGCACCCCCCACCCCGTACCCTGCCTCCACCTCCTGCAGGCCCAGGACTAAGTGGGAAGCAGGGGCCCACTGCCCACCGCACCCTCCTGTCCCAATAGCCACACGTCTCAGACCCTGCTCAGCTCGGGGCAGGAGCTGGAGCCCATCTCCCCAACTTGGTGGAAGCACTGAGTCACAGGAACAGGGGCTTTCACCTCACTGGGGCTCCACCAGGAGGCTGTGTGTCCTGCCCACTGGAAGCAGGGGGCCGGAGAGGGTTCTGCAGACCTGGAGCAGCCACAAGTGCCACACAGAGTCCAGGCCCAGTGAGTGAGGGACCCAGTGTGGGAGCACTGACACATGGGAATCCAGCCCGCACAGGCCAGGAAACTTGCCAAGGCCACACAGCTTTGGGCAGCAGGATAGGAAGAGTCCCCTCATGCCCCCTCTTCCAGGAGGCCTTCCCAGATACCACCCAGGCATCTCTCCCTCACAGCCCCCGGCCTAGAGACCAACATCAAAGTGGGCCAGCCCTGGCTTGTCAGGGCCACTGAGCTCTGCTCACAGATGACACCCAATAGTGATAGGAGATAGAACAAGACACAGACTCCCAGCTGTGGGGAGAGAGTTCTAGAAACCACACAACACCTCAGAGCATCCTTGGAGGGGAAGGGAGAGAAAGCAGAGCACAGGGAAGGGACAGATAAGGCACGATTCAAAAATTGAGAGATGGCTTCCTGGAGGATGCTGAGCTGGCTGGAACAGTGTGAGCACATGCTTGAACAGAGGGGAGATGGTACAAGTGCTCAGGGGAGGGAAGGGAAGTTGGGCAAAAGGGTATGAGTAAGAGAAGAGATGATCAGAAGGCTAGATGACAGAAAAATGATACACAAGTATCCAAGAAATAATGCACCATAGTTATTGCTAAGAGAAGTTAAAACAGAATAAAAAGAAAGGTGGATGATCAGGGAAGGCATCCCTGGTGAAGTGACCTGAGCAGGACTGAATGGAGCAAGACACATGGACACCTGGAATAGGGTGCAGCAAGTGCAAAGGTCCTGGGGTGAAAAGCTGCCTGGCCAGGAGGCTAGTGGGACTGAACAGACTGCAGGAGAAGGGGATGGAAGAAACTGTCTAGGAGGCCACCAAGGCAGCTGTGCAGCGAAGGCCTTCTACTCTGAGTGAGGCGTGAGAGGAGACAAGGGCTGATGTTATGTAACAGGATCTCAGGCTGGGAGGAGAGGCAGAGTGGGTACCAGGCTCTCAAAAACAGCCCACAAGAGAAAGCATCCCCTCTGTCCAGGAACACCCCAGAGCCCAGGAACACAGCTGGGCCCACAGTGTCTGTGGGAGGGGGTGCATGTGCAGCTGCTCCAGATCTGCAAATGTCACATTTCCTGCTGAGATACCCATGGACCCCTCCTGATAAGGTACTCCTTCCAGACCCTCGACCAGAGCCTGCCAAGGGCCTCAGCACCTCCTAGAACAGGGACTTCACCTCCTACCCACGCCATCCTTTCTCAGGGCCCCCAGCCTGTCTGGCGGCCTGGTCTCTGCAGCTGTACAGAGGCCCAGGGTGGTGGCTGGTTCCTTCCCAGGCTCAGTGGCTCTGGAGGAAGCAGAAAGACTTACCTTCAGGGCTGCCTCTGGGAACAGAGTGCACAGAGTTAGGGTCCATGTGCTCCTCTGCCCGGGACCGGGGCAGCATCTGTGGCTGCTCGGGCGCCTCCTTGGGCACCTCCACGGTGGGGGCAACTGGGACTTCATCACGTGGTGGTGTGGACACGGTGGGGGAGGTACTGAGCTTGAAAGGGACCTCAAGAGAGCTCAGTGTGGCTTGTGACGTGATGACACCAGCCAAGCTGGACCCTGGCAGGGATGCAGCACCCTCCTTCACAGCACTGCGAGGTGTGGCCTGGGCATCTGGGATAAGGTTTTCCTCTGGCCCTGCCTTGGCTTCTACCCCTTTCTCCTGGTCAGGAAAGCTGGGTCTGACGGGGGCAGGGGCTGTGGTGGGCAGCCCATCTGGCACCCTGGGGCCACCTGCTGCCGGCTGCTCAGTGACTACCACCTCCTCTGCTTCATCTTCCCCTTCCTCATCCTCTTCCTCATCAATGTCCTCTGTTACTCTTCTGGCTTTGGCCTGCACAGGGGCTGGAGGACCCAGGGCGGCAGCTGCCGTGGGCCTGGGGAGGCCAGCTGGCCACAGGGTTGCCCGCAGTGAGGACAGTGGCTGATTCCCACCTCCCAGAGCAGCTGGGGGGCCCCCTACACCCGCCTGGACCTCGCCAGCCAGGGCCACCGCTGCTTCTGCCTCAGCCACCTCTTGGTCATAGCTGTAAGGGTCTTCATAGTGTCGCTCAGGGTCACCCTCCTCGGTGTCTGAGAAGTTCCCAGGGCAACCAGGGAGCTGGTAGCAGATGAGTTCACCACCAGCGTCAGGGCAGTGGCAGGCCCGGCAGGGTGAAAGGTGCACGGTGTGGCCGGCGGCATACTTGCGGCCAGTGTGGACACAGCCCAGCTGACCACACTGTGGGCAGCTGTCGGCCGCCACCACGGCTTCGATGCAGTTGGGTGGCAGCTCTGGGCAGAGCATGAATTGGCAGCTGATCTTGCCACCAGTCGGTGGGCAGGAGCACTCGGTGCTACCGAAGTCTACAAAGTAGGACTGGCCAGCGGGCACACGGCCATCCACGAAGCCACCCTGCACACAGTCGTAGTACTGGTAGCCCTCACAGGCGCAGCCCTGCTGCACGCACGTGGCACAGCAGGCGCCAGGCTCCAGCGCCTCCTCGATGCAGTTCTCCAGCGGTGGGCACTCCACACCTGTGCAGTCCTGCCATGGCACCGCCATGCCCGGCTCGGGTTCAGGGCAAGGGCCAAGGCCAGGGCTAACCAGGCTCCTGCAGGTTCCCAGAGCAGCGCCATGGTCCTGTGAGACCCTGGGGGATGGAGAGGGAGCCTGTCAGCACCAGAGTCACAGCGGACAGGACAGGGGTGCACCCACCTACCTTGTGCATACGCAGGACACAGCCACAGCCACCTCCAGTTCCAGCGCACATTCATCAGGTTTGCCAGACTCACACAGTCTGCCACACACAGGAAAGATCCACAGACAGGTGAGCACATGTCACTCAAGTGCCACAGATGTTAAAGGAGAGTCACCAACATGGCCCCACATCTGTTCACACAGGGTCACTTGAGTCTCTTGGCTAGTGTCCTGACCCAGGCCCTCTGAGAGGGTCCCTTGTGCCTAGACTCACACACCCAGGCAGGCACACGCTACTGCATCCTTGCTAGTCACACTTACACACCCTACAACTCAGGAAGTGTGGTTTCACCCTGTTCCGTGGGGCTCCATGCACAGTCACGTAGTCTCACCCAGCCACACCCATGTGCAGGACACATCCATAGATGGTCTTGCACACACAGCCTCCAAAAGTTGGCTGGTTTTCCAGCATGGATGCTGGCTGGGGATGTGACCAGAGGTGAGCGCTGGGCTTTGGAACAGCCATTCAACCCCTCCCGTCCATGTACCACAGCACTAGTGCTCAGATTCCAGGGCTCTAGATCATCCCCATGAGATGCCTGGGGCTGCGAGATGAGCCCTAGGTGGACTCCTGTCCACCTCCTCAAAACATCAGCAATGTGTCCTATAGGCCTCCATGTGCCTGATCCCCCACACAAGCCCGAGTCCCAGAATGGCTCTCCTCTCTCTGCCCCTCCCCAGCTCTGGCCTGCCTATCTGCCCTGGAGTATACCTAGCCTGGACACTGCCCCTCTGCCTCCCCATATAGTTCCTCCCTTTCTTTGGCATGCCAGTGTGATCTGAAGGCAGCTGGCCCTGACATGCCACACCTACAACCTGTCCCTGCATCCCATCTCCTGCAAGGAACGGTCCTTCCTGATTGGGCTGGCCACTTGGGGCCCTGTGGGAAACACCCCGAGTGGCCCTCTCCCATACTGAATACTCCCAAGGGCTCTTCCCTACCCCCACCCTCCTTGATGTCCTTACAAGTCACTCAAATGCCACCCTCTCACCAGTCCTCACTCTCACCACTCCTGTGAGTCACAGTGACTCAGTCTCCACAAGGCCAGACCCCACCCCTGGACAGGACACTCCCCCGAAGTCATAGGCAAGGGCTCTGCCTCCATTCAGTCCCCTGCCCAGGGCCCAGCCCCAAGGTGGTACTAATGCTTTCACAAAGCAAAAAGTGCCTGCTTTTTTTTTTAAGACATGAAATGGCATCTCTAGTCTTTTAAGCATTGGTTATTTCAAACTTTTGTTAAAAGACAGTAAATTTTTTAAAGTTTCAGGAAAGAGAAGAGTGGAGAGCAGAGTCACCGTGGTTTCTAGAGGAAGTGCCACAGCTGTCCACCTCCCAGCTAAGCTCAGTCAGGGGTAAGTGAACAGGCATGGCCTATTACTACGGCCAGGGCCCTGACAGCCGCAAAGGAGTGACAGCCAGTTGGTCACCAGCAGCAGCAGTAGTCTGGGGCCCTATCACAGCTGGTCAACCCATAGTGACATGGGCCCTCCTCTATGCAGGCACCTCTAGGCGCTGGAGGTTTATCAGCTAATAAGACAGGCCACCGGCTGTCCTCCCAGAGCTGATAATCCAGGGGAGGGGACGCACATAATAAACGCAAGTGCAAATCTGTGCCAGGCACTGATGAGTGCCCAGTGTAGCAACAAATGAAGGAAGGAAACTGGAAGGAGTTGGCAGGGAGAGCCTATATCCACTGGGTGGTCAGGAAAGTTTCACTGAGTAGGTGGTATCTGAACTGTGATCAACAGTCTCACTGGAGGCAAAGCATTTCAGGTAGTGGGAACAGAAGGGCCAAAGTGCCTGAGGAAGGACTAGCAGAAGGCAAGTGAGGAACAGTGAGAACCAACATGGCTGGAGCCCAGGAGTAAAGACAGAGGTAGTAATGGCACACCAAGCAGCTTCTGCTGCAGTGACAGACACTGTGCCATGCCTGGAATCCCAGAGGCCTGGAGGTAACCCAATCTACTCTCTGTTGAAACAGAGAAGACAGGCAGAAGGCAGGCAACTGGCAGGGCAGTAAGCAACGAGAGACTGGAGGGAACAAAGAAGGAGAATCTAGTGAAGGTCGCGTTAATAGGGTTCACTGATAGACTGGATGGAGCTCAACAGAAAGAGCAGCCAAGGGTCCTGGCCCGAGAAACCTGCGAATCGTACCATAGGAGGCCGCTAGAAACAGGCCAGGCTACAGCCTGGAAACGTGAGGGACCCTCTTTAGCCCTGAGGACTGATACACCGCTGACCCATTTCAAGAAGCCACCGCAGGAGAGTAAAGAGCACCACAAAGCTGCTGAGAGGAATGGCAGCCGTGAAAATGGGGGTTCCCATCCTAAATGACAAAGCCACCAACATCTAGATGGTGATGGGGAGGGAGGGTAAATGCTTGCCCCACTCGGGCTGGCGAGAGCCCTCCACCAGCCTCCCTTCATCTCAGGAAGGAAGGCGTCCCAATTGCAGCCTGTAGGGTTCCCCTAGAGCTTCCTCAGGGAGCCCAGACTGCCAAGTCTGTCCCCTTGCTTTGCTCACCTGCAGAACACTCAGGGTGACCTGACCCTCTGACCCCATCCTGATCTCTGGATCCCTATCACCCCGACCCCAGGCTCAGGAACAAGAATGAACTTTAGCTTGGAGCCTGACTCCATTCTCTGCTTTTGCTGTACAACCCCAGGCAAAGCCCTGGCCCTCTCTGAACCACAGTTCTAGTTCACAGATGAGAGATTCTGCAGTGCCTCAGGTTACAGTCAGGCCCACAGGCACTGTCTAGCCCTCAGAGGCACTTTGGTTCACATGATGGGGTTTGAGTTTTCAACTGATTACCAGCACTCACAAACTGGAAACAGTCAAGTGAAAATCCAGGTTTCTAACTCAGGTTTAAAACAACTAAGCTCCAGCCACCCTGAGATGACATTAAATGCGACTGGGCTCCCTGTCCCTGCGTGGTGTAGCCTAGAGGCCCCTGGTACCATCTGAAGGTTGTCCGCCTACCAGGAGGGGGAAGGACCAGCTGGATGAGTGCAGAGGAGGCAGCCCAACTGAGGATGGGATCAGCCCCACTGTCCTTCATCTCTATGGCTGCTCCAGCTGGAGTGTGCGTGAGGATGGGAGGGAGGCAGACCTCACCTCCTCCTGTTAGGAGGAGGGGAAGAACACCCTGTCCCAGAGGTAAGCAAAAAGCATGAAGGCACAGTCTCCATTTTGCTGGGCCCTGTGCTCCTCTTGGGGGCTCCAACTGCTAATTTCCCATGTTCCCCACCCCTGCCAAATATGCTCCTGAATGTGTGGCTCCTACCAACTGATCCCATCAGCCTGAAATTGCGAGCCAACCAGAAGGGGGTTGAAAGGGTCCTGACCTCCCTTCAGATGGCCAGGCAGCCCCAGCAGCCAGTCTACCAGCAAATAAAGGCACTAACAGGCCACTCTGTGCCAGTTGGTACCATGCTGTGCTACCAAGCAGGTCACAGTGCACTGAGCCCAGTCTCCTAAGGAGGCAGCACTTATGGGGTCGGCACAGGCTCTCAGGAACCCGGAGAAAGGCACACAATAGAATGCCAGTGTGCTGTAAGGATGGTACTACCAGCCCGGGATGGCCTGCAGTAGCATCTCTGAAGGACACACACATGCAGCTGGCACAAGTTCCGTGACCCTGTGGTGCTGCTCAGGGCTCTGCTAAGAAAGACGCACAGGCCCACATAGCCCATGGAGGTCACTGGCCCATGTGCAGGCAGGTGGAGCCTACTGTGCTCATTGTCCTTCCCCGATGTGCTGCTGGCTCTTCCACACTGCTGTGTGCCTGAGAGGCTGAGCGCTGATACGTGCCCAAGTGTCCTCCAACTGCCTATGGACTCAACCAATGGGAGCCACTGACAGACTGGAGGGTAGGAGAGAGACTGGTGTGCCCATTTCCTGCCTCTTTTCCCCTCTCTCTCCCTCCCTCCCAGGCAGGGCTGTAGCATAGCTATCCCCCCTCATTATGGTCACAGCCCTTGCTGGGGTCTCATAGCTGCATCTTCCATCCTCCAGAACAAGGGTGATCATGGCTGCACATATGGACTCCCTTTTTTTCCCCCATAGCCTGACAGACAGACAGATGACACTGGGAGTCAGTGAACTGGTGTACCTTTGAAACAGAGCTCTAAAAGGGAAAGTTAGGAAACAGAACCAGATGGGCACCCACGATAAAAAAAAAAAATCATTTTGTGCAACTCAGGCCTACAAGGGGAGACACAGTAGACAGAACTGGAGCCCTGCCCGTGGGGAGAAGGGAAGGGAGTGGAGCAAAGAAGGAGGAAATAAATAAAGCAGCAAATCCCAGTGGGACCTACAGAGACCAGGCTAACAGTGTGCCATTCCTGAGAAGTATAATTAGGTCCAACTTCTAGCTCCTGATTTAAGCTAAAGAAACAGACAGGATTTCCAGTCCCTGCTAGGTGCCTCTAGAGGCAAGACCCCACCTGCAGCAGGGAGGGTCCAGAGGCAAGTGTACAGCCAGAATCTTGTGCTCACTTGCCTTGGGACCCTGTGTGACAGTGAGCCAAGAAGCCGGGAAAGACCCCTGGAGTGACCGAGGACCTCAGAGAGTGCACTGAACATGAGACTCAGTCAGGAACAGAAGCTCGTCTGGGAGGTGTGACTACTAGCAGTCTTTAAGAGGTGGCCACTTGACATGTCGTTGTGTCTGTGTTACATTCTAGTGTGTATCAGTGTGAAAAGGTCATTGCAACAAGGTCACTGTCAGCAGCCATGACATAGATGGGCGGGCCAGCTGTGGACTTTCTCATTGTCCTCTCTTTTGGCTGGCCATGCTTCGTGATGAACGGCACAAGGGCAGTGGGCACTTAAGGGACAAGAGGGAAGTCAAGCCACTGAGTGGCTTCCAACACACAGCACCTGAGATG